ATCCACCTCATTGAGGGTCTTCCCCTCCAGCACTGACCCTCCACCCTTCCAAGCATGATGTCCCTCTCCAAGGACTGGTCCCTCCTTGCAGCATGTCCAAAGTATGTTAGATGAAGGTTCAGAGTCCTTGCCTCCAAGGGGCAACCTGGTTTAACCTTCTCCAGAACAAACCAGTTCATTTTCTTAGCAGTCCATGGTATACTCAATACTCTTCTCCAACACCACAGCTCAAAATAAGAAGAATAAACTTCAAAACAAAGGGTTTTTTCCCAAAGCCAAAACTTTAAAACCTGACTCAGTGAATTCTGTAAGTGGATGCTTTCATAGGTTACTTCCCGGCCATCCCTTCTACTTCTCCTTCATGGAAAGCATCTCTCTTTTCCATGCTCAGCTCAGTGAAGCCAATATCTAAAGACCCGTTAGTAAGCTTTTGACATCATTTCCTTGGCTAATGTAACTGAGTGGAGTGGCGTCTACTTCCTAAACCACATGCCTCTGGAAACTATGAACTTGGAGAAATGAGGATACTTAAGGAAGGCATTAGGTCTTTTGTTCATAGAGTGATTATGAGTCTCGCTTGACTCAGTGTCAATTAACAACAACAATGTAACTGAACGCTGGTGGCCTTGTGGTAAGAAACTGCACTGCAATCCCACAGGCATGCGGTTTGAATCCACCAGCCGCCCCAGGGAGAAATGTGGGCAGTCTCCTCCTGTACAATTTACTGACTCTGAAAACCCACTGGAGGGTCAGTTCCAACTCAATGGTACACAACAACACCACAACTGCAACAACTTGACTTGAGAATAGAGAAAAACAAAATACATGGGGAAGCACCATTCTAGCTACTTAAAAAGGGGGGGGGAGTTGCTATCGAGTTAATTCGGTATTATGGTGGTAACCACACAGGTATCAGGACAGAGCTCTGCTCTTTTTTTTTTTTTTTAGATTTTTTTTAAATTTTATTATTTTTGTGTGCGTGTACCGTCAAATCAGATCTGAATGGTACAGGAGGAGATTGCCCCTCCTTCCCCGGCAGAGCATCTGGCGGATTTGAACCATGCACCTCTGGGATTGTAGTTGCAGCTTCTTGCCACTAGGCCACCAGAGCTCCCCAGAGCTCTGCTCTTGAGGGTCTGTATTAAGGCTGTGTAATCACCGGGCCTTTCTCCCAAGGTACTTCTCAATGCCTTTCCGTTCAGTCAGGGACGCCACTTCCTATAGAAGTCACTCGCTCATTGCATCCAATCAGGACCCTCCAGCATAGAAGGAGATTTTTCTCCCTGCTTTCTTTTGTAGAACAGCTAGCAGATTCCAAGTGCAGGCCTTTGGATTGGCAGCACAGCTCCTTGCCCACTGTTGTTAATTGTTTTTGTTATGTGCGATAGAGAACAAAACCCACAGTTGACTCTCCAGCAGGTTTTCAGGGGTTGTTAATCGCATGGGAGAAGACTACCCACCTTTCTCCCATAGAGCACCTGGTGGATTTGAACTGCATGTCTCTGGGTTGGCAGCTCCTTACCCACTGTGCCACCAGAAATCCCTTTCTATAAGGAAGTTCTCACAGGGCTGGTAGAACTGGGGAGTACATTCTAATTACTGATGACTTTATAAAAATTATTCTTGCACAGCCCACATTTCCAACCAAAGTCAAATGGATTGGGAAATTATGGTACACAATGGAATACTACGCAGCATGCAGGAGTAACGATTGTGTAAATTATTATCTAACTTGAGAGGGACTAGAGAGCATTATGCTGAGTGAACTAACTCAGACCCACAAGGACAAATACTGCATAAAAGCATTATTGTAGAATGAGTATGAAGCAGAAAGGTGAGGATGCGCTGGGGGGATTAATCACAGGGTCGATTTGATGGGTGGGGGTGAGGGAAATGGGAAGGATCTGGTGTGGAAAACAGTGTGTTTTAATTTGGTAAATAAACTAGTATAAAAAATAAAAAGTTATTTTTGCATCAAAATTGGTTTTTGTGTATAGAAGAAACCATCATTTCTGTGCTGGTCACAGTGATGACTCAAAGCTCCAGGAGGGGCTGTTGGAGTTTTCATTTTTAATTTATCATCTAGAAATTACAAGTATTGAGATAGTTTTACAGGGAGCTTGGAGTCTTTTCAGTTGTCTAAACTCTCCAGAATGTAGAATCCCGTCACTTTGCTCTCTAATTGTACGGCGTGTAGACTCGGATGGGTACAAAGCGCTCTAACCAATGGAGAGTGGGTTCATGGACTCATAGCGGGCCCTGCAGTGCATGTCTGAGGTTGTAAATTGTACAGGAAATCTTTCTCTCATGGAACTACCAGAGAGGGGACCACCTGTGCGTTAGTAACACAAATCCCTGAGGGTGACAGCACTAGAGCTCCCGAAAAGTGACAGAGAAAACAAAATTCTATCTCGATTATAAAGTACTGTAAAGATCAATGTATACACACGAATTCCAATCACAATTTTGACTACAAAAAAATCCTTAAGAGTTGGCTGCTATTTAGATTGAGTCTAGAAGTACAACCCAGCTGTTACTGCTGAGTTGGTTACTCTACTTTTAAGGACTTTCTGGGCATTTTGCTGGTACCATCGTCCCAGTCTTTGCCAGACAAAATCTCATTGTTGTAGTCACTGTGTCACACTACCCTGCTGAAGGTTTTACTCTTTCACTGACATCCTACTTTTTCCAAGCATGATGTCTATTTCCAAGGACTAATACCGGGAGCTCTGATGGCTTAGTGGTAAGAAACTGCACTGCCAGCAAAGGTACGTGGTTCAAACCCACCAGCTGTTTCACGAGAAGACGGGACATCTCCTCCTGTGGGATTTCTTGCCTCTTAAAACCCACTGGAGGGTCAACTGTGGGTTGGTTCTGACTCAACTGTACACAGCCAGAACAATAAGTTGTGGTGTAACCTCTTGACAATACACTCAAAGTACATGAGACAAAGTTTCACCATGCTTGCCTCCAAGGAGCACACTGGTTGCCCTTCCTCGCAAAATAGACTTAGATACTCTTTTAGGAGGCCATGGGATATGGAATGCTCTTTGCCAATGCCACCGTCAAAGATATCAGTTCTTCTTTAGTCTTCCTCATTCACTATCCAACTTGTTTATTTATTTTAAAATACATTAACCTATCTGTCTTGGGGGTGGGGGTGGGGGGAAGAAAGTCAAACCACAAATAGGATCAAATTGAAGCCTCTGCAATTTGAAATTTTTAGTGACAGATTTATACATACATGCTAATTCAAAAAGTTACAAAAACAACAAGAGGATTTGAAAATCACCAAGGAAACAAGCTGAGGGAAAAAAAATGTACAATATCCCAGCTTGATTAGAGCCAATACCTGATGGCCTTGCGGTAAAGCCTTGGGCTTCTAAGCACAAGATCCGAGACTCAAACCCACCAGTTGCTCCACAGAAGAAAGACGTGGCGCTCCGATCCCGTAAAGATCGACAATCCTGGAAACCCTCCAGGTGAGCCTACGCTGTCTGACAGCATCACCATGTGTCAGAACTGAATTTATAACAGTAGAATTGTTTTAAATAAAATTTTTGTTTCATACTGGCTTCTTTACAATGTTCATATACATCATTCTTCATACCAGATCTCGTCCATCTCCTTTACCCATCCCTCCCTGTACCCATCAAACTGTGACACTGTAATTACCCCCCTACCCATCCTCACCCCTCTGCTCCCCCTCCCCTCCTTGGATCTTCATATACTTTTTTACTAGTTATCTTTCTATTTCTACAATAATGGTCTTATACAGTATTTGTCCCTATGGGACTGAGTTCAGACAGTAAACTTTTTATAGTGTTGAGGAAAAGCCAAAGATTTTCCATTAGAAACTACCTTAAAATGAATAATGACTGAAATGAAATGCATGCATATGAATGAAATGCCATGTATACATAAACACAATGTATCAAACTTTGTTTACAAACTAATATAAAATAAAATCACACAAAAAATAAAAATGAAAGTATTTTTAAAAGGATGCTGTTAGGTCAAAAAGTATAAAATGTATTGACATCTTAAGACATGGTACTTTGTATTTTAGCGTGCACATCCATGCCTCAACTCACTGCCGCCCAGTCAGAATCAACGCACAGCTCACCCTCCAGCGAGTTTCAGAGGCTGTAAACCGCACAAGCAGAGATGGCCTCTCTGTCTCTCCCAAGGAGGAGCTGGTGTACTTGAACTGCCCGCCTTCGGGGTGGTAGTGTCCACTCCCTATCAACTGTTGTTGTCATGTGCCTTCCAGTTAGAACTGACTCGTGGTTGAGCCTCCGGCGGGTTTTCAGAGGCAGTAAAGCACACTGGAGGAGACTGCCCATCCTTCTCCCACGGGGCAGCTGGTGAGATCAAACCCTGTGCCTTCGGGATTGCAGTGCAGCTTCTTGCCACTAGGCCACCAGAGCTCCCTACCGACTAGGCCACCATATACAATAAAAGTACGATGATTTCTCAGGGAAGGAGGCACCTCGGTGAGGAGAGTGGGGGCATAATAAAACAGGGGTCAAGCGAGGCTCTAACTGGATCTGAAATGTTTGCTTACAAAATAAAGTGTGCTGAGGCCAGTACAATAAAGTTTCACTTATTCATTCTTTGCTGTTGAGTCAGAACCAACACGTAACTGACCCTCCAGCAGATTTTCAGAGGACTAGACTGCCCATCCTCCACCCGCAGAACAGCCAGTGGATTTGAACCGCCTGCCTATGGGTTAGCAGCCCAACTTCTTACTAGTAGGCCACCAGAGCTCCCTGAATCATTTGTTAAATCTGAGTGAAATTAGTGAATTCTGAATATGTGACACAATTTATCATTCAAAACACTTTCCATTTGACACAATACCAATGAGTAGCATTTTAAGGATGAAATGAAAACTTGAAATTTCTTTAAGAGGAGAACATACACAAGACGGAGGAGACGTCAACAACTCACAACAACTAAAATCCTTTCTGTGCTGTGTGTCTGTCTGTCCTTGACAGATATCGACGAGTGTGCGGCGGGCACGCACAACTGCAGGGCCGACCAGGTGTGTATCAATCTGCGCGGCTCCTTCACCTGCCAGTGCCAGCCGGGGTATCAGAAGCGAGGGGATCAGTGTGTGGGTAAGTACCCAAGCGCTGGACCACTGACTGTTTAACCTCAGACATTCACGCACTTGCCATCTACTTGGAGAATCATCGCTAACAGTGCCTTATGCATTAGTAATCGGTCCACTGTTCCACACTCACTTGTTAGAATAAGCAGACCCTGAGCTTAGGGGGAAGGATGGGACTCACAATGGAAATAATGAGAAAGTAATTTCAAGACACAGATGTCCACCGGTTTATCACGCAGCATCTTCCCCTGGACTCCTTCTGAGGTTTGGGGCACGTGACTGAAGTTTGCTGTAGCTCAGCAATTTTATTTGTGACGTGGGGATGGCGCTGGTCCCTTTCCACTTGGCTTCCTGCACTGGACGGACTCAGAGCACTGGCTGGCCTTGTGCTATATATATAACCTTGTTCTATGATTATTGGGGGCAGTGGTGGGGCAGTGTGGCATCTGCATTTCCATGCAGGATACATGAGTTCATTCCTGGCCCCTCAGGCACAGCCCCTGTGTCGTGGAGATGTTCGTATCCCTACAACACTGAACAGATTTCAACAGCATTTTCTGATGAAGGCTGGGAGGGAAAAAGCCTGGGAATTGGGTTCTAAAATCAGCCAATGAAAAACCCTGTGAGGTCGTAAAGGCCTGTCCCCATTGTGTATGGGGTCGCCTTGAGCTGGGGCCCAATTTATGGGAGCTAACATGAGAGGTCATGAAGGGAAGAAAGTAGAGTAGGAATGAAGAGGGGGAAATAGAGATAAAAATCAAATGTCCTGCGTACAATCTGAGCCCCGCATTCACCAGGGGAAACCGTGAATAACTCGCTCTGTTCATCTTTGCATACCACTTCCCACAATGCATCAGTGAAGATGGCTTCTGTTCTCTGAGCAACAAAGTGTAAGGAGAAGGGGGCAGGCAACCAATGTGGGGGTTTTCTCCTGGAGATGTGAGCTGTTGATATAAGCACGTCAGCACTATCCTCCTGCGGGCACTGGCCTGGTTCTGCCGGCCACGGGTCTATGCCAGATGCCGGGATCAGTGCCAGCCTTTGATGAAAGCCCAGGGGGTTGTAGTGGCTAAAACTTGGGCTCAGAAAAAGATGATGTGGAAAACTCAACAGGCACCCAAGTTTTTACTCACTGGATGAGTCAGGGGGATAAAACCACTTAAGGGCATAAAAAAACCATAGAACTTACTAGTAAGTTCTAATAAGTCAAAGAGGTTAGGATTTATGATCACAGCGCTTTATAATGTTGTTGTTAGGTGCCATCAAGTTTGTATGACTCATAGTAACCCTATGAACACAGATCTGAACCTTGTCCTATACTGTTTCATCCTCCTCATCTCTGACACACTTTGAGCCTGTTGCTGCAGTCACTGTGTCAATCCACCTGACTGAGGGTCTTCTGCTCTTTGGCCAATCCTCTCCAGGGAATGACCTCAATGCCACTGAGCTGTGGTGCTGAAAAATTAGTACTGACTATCTCATGAACTGTGCTTTATAATGTTGTTGCTGTGTACTGTCAAGTCGGAAACCACCCATAGCTGGCCCTCCAGTGGGTTTTCAGAGAAAGTATAATCACACAAGAGGAGATTGCCCATCATTCTCCCATGGAGCAGCTGGTGGATTCGAACTACCTGCCTTCAGGTTGGCAGCACGGCTGCTTGCCACTCACCCAGCAGAGCTCTCGGGCTTTATCATCGGAATACACGTTCCACTCAAATCTAACCAGACACCTTCAGCATATTTCCCTCGCCCACAGAACCAAGTCTGTATTACTCAACAGAGCACATAAGCTCATCACCAATCTGCTCCTGCCTAGTTCTTTAGGGGGTGATCAGCATCACCCCATAAATAAATATTACCCCCTCCCACCAGTTACAATGCCTCATGTACAACATGCAAGCACTTCAGTGTCTCCCAACAAACTCTTTGCCAGCACCTGGAAATAGAAAACTCTTGGCTTTCAAACCCCATCTCAAGGACACCTCCTCTGGGAAGCCTTCTGTGATCTACCCAAGTCCAATTAGTCACTCTGTTGTCAGCAGCGTCAAGTTACCCAATGAGTCACCTTAGCACAGGCTTACTTGTGTTTACTGACTAATCTGTAGGGCACACTTTCCCTTCCCCAACTTGCCCCATCCACACATCAAGGATTGTGTCTTCACCTCTGGCTGGCAGCTCTCTTTCTCCCAACCCCACAGCCCCTCCCTACAGAATCAAAGCCTCTTTTTACATTCACAGTCGCGGCCAGGATGGACTACCCAGAAGTCCATCAGCACGTCTCAGGTTTTAAGAAGGGATCCTTTTTTTAAGACATCTCCAACCTGTTATAAACCACTAGTTTGTAAAGCACAAGCTGTGGTAAAAACACCTCTTTCCCATCCCTGCACTTACTCCTTGTAGCCCAATCCGAGTAGACCACAGCCTTGGCAGCGGGCAGTGGCCACACAGAGAAAAGCACACAGGGCCCCCTGCATCCAGTGTACACATGTGTACTGCTGATCTGACCTTGCCCAACTTCCACATCAGACAGGAGTGGGACACAGATACTTTTCATCCTTACAAACTTGGAGTACCAAGGGAGCTCTGGTGGCCTAGTGGCAAGAAGCTGCCCTGCAATCCCAGAGGTAGGTAGTGCGAATCCACCAGATGCTCTGCTGGAGAAGGGGCAGTCTCCTCCTGGACCAGTCAGTTCCAATTTGATGATACAGACTCATCATCATCATAATAATAATAATTTTTTTAAAAAACAAGCTTGGAGTACCAAACACAATGCTAGCAAATAACAGTGGCTTGGTGAACATTTGCTGGTTAAGTCATTCATCAAATATTAACTGGAGGCCAGCAGTGTGCTAGGCGCTGGCTGTCGACAGCTTTTACAAAATCATGGCCCTAGTGAAGTTATTAGAAGTCCTGTATATGCAAATTAACTATTGAAACTAGAGCCTGGCCAAACACACTCAGCTTTTAACAGAAAAGTCAGTGTTTGAAACACACCAGCTGCTTCACGAGACAGAGACACAGTATAAAAATGACAGAGGGGGTGGGGGGCATCCGAATCAGCTCCACAGCACCAGACAACAGGAAGCCCTGTGATCCACTGCTCTTAAACGCCATGACATTCCTACTCGTTGGGCTAACGCAGTGAGTACCTGGTGTGCCAGGCCTTGTTCCAGGGGCTTAGGGAGCTGCAGTTAGCGAGCAGACAAGACACTGGTTAACTCTACCCCAAGGACAGGGCGCAAGTCTTACCTGCCAGGCTTTCCAGCGGGAAAGACAGACAGCAGGCAGACAGGTAACATGCAGCCAAGGCGTGCCGGAGGCTGGGAAGGAATACGATGCTGGGTGATGGGAGAGGTGGAGAAGCAGCTGTTTCACCTGAGTGGGCAGGAATGTCTTTTCTGAGGAGATGCATTTCATCAGAGACCTAAAAAACAAACAAACAAAAACCCCATAAATAAGGAAGCCATGTAACGATTCTCACTCATTTCACTTACACTCACACACTTGTTGCCATGATGTCAGAACAAATGACACCTAACACTTCAGTGGGTTTTCAGAGTCTGTAAATCATATGGGAGGAGACTGCCCATCTGTAGCTGGTACAGTCAAACTGCCTGCGTTGGGTTGGCAGCACAACTGCCTGTCTACTTGTTGCTGTTGTTGTTATGCGCCATCAAGTCAACGACAATTCATAGTGACCCTACGTACAATGGCCCTACCCACTGTTATGCTGTTATGTGCCGTTGAGTCACCTGAGACTCATAGCAACCCTATGTACAAAAGCCCTAAACCCTGCTCTGTCCTGTGCCAATCTCACTGTCTCCGACACACCCATCCCGATTACCCCAGTCACTGAATTAATCTACCTCATAGAGGGTCTTCCTCTCCTGTGCTGTCCCTCCACCCTCCCAAGCATGACGTCTTTCTCCAAGGACTGATCTCTCCTTGCAACATGTCCAAAGTATGTCAGACAAAGCTTCCTTGCCTCCAGGAAGCAACCTGGTTTAATCTTCTCCAGGATGAACCTGTTTGTTTTCTTAGCAGTCGATGGTATAGTCAATACTGTTCTCCAGCACCACAGCTCAAAGGAATCCATTCTTATTCTATCCTCCCTACTCAATGTCCAGCTCTCTGACGCATAGCAAGTGATTGTAAAGACCATGCATGGCCTGTATCAGGCACAACTTAATCTTTAAAGTGACACCATTGCTCTTCAGCACTTTGGAGAGGTCCCTAACCGCAGACTTTCCCATGGCAATGCACCTTTTAATTTCCTGGCTGCTGATGCCAAGTGTTGACTGTGGAGCCAAGCAAACTAAAGCTGTGAACAATCTCAATCTCTTCACCATCTATCCTGATGTGGCCAACTGGCCCAGTGGTGAGAATCTTTGTCTTCTTGACATTGAGCCTCAATCCATATTGGAGGCTGCAGTCCTTGACCCTCTGCAGCAATCACTTCAGGTCCTCTAAGTTTCAGCAAGCAGGGTTGTGTCATCTGTATAACTCAGATTGTTGATGAATCTTCCACCAGTCCTGATGCCACACCTCTCCTCATACTGCCCAGCCTCGCAGATAATCTGTTCCGCATATAGGTTGAAAAGGTATGGAGATAGGATACATCCCTGGCATAGACCCTTCCCAATTCTGAACCATGTAATGTTTCCCTGTGCTGTTCTGATGACTGCCTCCTGGTCCAAGTACAGGTTTCACATTAGTATGATCAAGTGTTCTGGGATTACACAACCTTAAATCAAATATATTGTACCATTTACTGATAATAAGACTAATCTGTGCTGTCCAGTTGATTCCAACTCAAGGTGATCTCCTACATTTCAGAGTAGATCTATTGAATAGATTTGCAATGCCTGTACCACAATCTACTTGTAGATTGTCAGCCCTTCTTCAGAAGCAACCCGGGGTGGATTCGAAGTGCCAGCAGTTAGATTAGCATCTAAGCTTAACCATTTGCCCCACCCAGGCCCTCCTTTGGAAGTGATAATTCCCTTTTATTTTTTAACCATTATGTTTCAGGAACTTGGTCTATGTCATCTCATGTAATCTTCCCAACAAGTCTACCACATTTTTGCATTATTACTTACAGAAGAGGAGTTGGTTAGTGGCAGAAGTGAGACCTAAACTCAAGTCACCCTTAGGCTGTCTGAGCTTATTTTTAGCTATCAAAGAACCCAAAAAGGCCAGCATAAAGTCTGTGTCTTTTTTAAAAAACATAAAGCAGAGAGCCCCATGCTCCAGGCAGAACTGTTGTTTGAGATGACATGTGCCACATTGCAATGCCACAATGTGTCCAGCTGAGAGTTAATGACGATTGATTCTGGTTCTGTGATGTTCGTCCTGTTCTACAAGTTCTCAGTGGGGCACTTTTGGGTTGAGACTATCCGGATGAGGGAGACCCAGACTGGGGCGCTCGGTCAGCGTGTCAGCAGGCCGCTCTCCAGAGATATCTGTTTGACATCCCGCTCTTCTCACAGTGTTCTGTTATTTGGTACAGAAACATCTTAAGGAGACATGGCAAGCGTCATCGTGCACATTTCACAGAAATAAAATCCAAGGCACTCAGCAGGCAAGGGCCTTAGCCAAGCTCGCCAGTCAAACAGCAGCACACACCTCTCCTCTGCTTGGGGCTCACCTCCCTCCATGCTCCTCTGGTTATTTTTAACTTCTCTCTTTAGAAGTCGCTTTCAGATCCCCGGGGTGACATTTCCGCAGCTTTAAGACCCTCAGTGGGCTGGACTGACACAGTGACTATAACAACAATGGGCTCTATCATATCAGAGATGATGGGATAGCCCAGGACAGGGGCTTGGGTCAGAGCTGTTCATGTGTCAACTGACAGCACCTAACAACATGAAATGTTTTCAGGCACATGTCTCCCTTTAAATATCAAGCTCACGTGACCAGCTTTGTTTGCCACGGAGTGGGGTGAACATTCCCCCTTTGCTCTTCATATCTGACTTCACGGCAGAAGACAGACCAAAATGTATTCATACATACACCCTAATTTTTTTTATTCATTTTAACGAAAGTTTACGGAGACTTTGGATTTCCATTCATTCACTGTTCAACTTTTCTCCATGCCCAACCTCCCTAGGCCCCAGTACACTCTTCTCTTTGAAAAGTAAAAGAAAAATTCTTTCATTGTTATACCCAAGTCCATGCCACCATGCAGCCTTCATTCTGGACTCCTGTCATGACAATAATACCTAATCATATATCCCTTTTAAACAGTTCTCTCCCTCATCTGTTTCAATGCAGTATACTATTTATCCCATCTTTCTCAGTCTCCCCCCAACTCCGATGTCAGTTCTGTTTTACAACAGTGGCACTAGGCAGTATTTGCCCTTCTGTGACTGAGATATTTCACTCAGCATAGTGTCCTCCAGGGTCACCCATTTTGAATAATATTGCATGAGTTCCTTGTTTTTCAATGCAGCACAGTATTCCATTGTGTGACTATACCACAGCTTCTCTATCCATTCATTTGTTGATGGGCACTTAGGTTGTTTCCAATATATGCCCTAATTTTAACAAGTGCAACAAAACGGAAAATTCCCTACTTTTAGATAGGCTGTCGAGATGATGCCTTCCTGAGTCTAGTCAGTAATTTGGCTCTTTCTTTGTGTGTGTGTGTGTGTGTGTGTGTGTGTGTGTGTGTGTGTACCGCTGCAGACATAGATGAATGTGCCACCCCTCCATACTGCCACCAAAGATGTGTGAACACGCCAGGCTCGTTTTATTGCCAGTGCAGCCCCGGGTTTCAGTTGGCTGCGAACAACTACACCTGCGTAGGTAAGCCTTCTGGGAACTGTCATTACTGATTTGCTGGTTTCTATCTTTTTTTTCCAAAATAAAAGGCAAATCCCACGCCACGTTGCAGAATTTCCAATTTTCTGGTGTTCTCCAGTGCGCTGGTTTTTATCAGCCTCTCTTAAGCAATCTGAAAGCTGAACAGACAATAACCAATCTGTTCCTTAAAACATATCAAGATGTGTGAACGGAAAACTTTTGGGAAGCTTGGTTTGTGTTCTCCAAGGCGGGTGTGTTTAGAAAATGTCCCAAAACTGCAGATCAGTGGATACGCACAGAGCCATCAGGTCACACACAGCCCGTCATCTGAATCCTACAGCCCGTGATCCGAAGCTTGAGGTGCTGACGGGGTTGCCCTAAGTTCACACACATAAACTTTCCACTGAAAGCATCTGATTTTCGCATGCCACTTCTCTCCTTTCAGAATGCAAAGTCACGGCACACAATTTTAAGATTGGAATGACATGGAAAGAATCTAGTTGGGGGGGGGGCGGGAATGCCTTTTCACACGCTTTTAAGTGCCTTGGAGCATTGCAAAATTCCATATGAGTCTCAAAGGCTTATGTTATAATTGTAATGGAATTTAACAGATCCTATTTAAAAAGTCATAAATAGCGCTGATAAATCTTCGCTACAACATGCTGAGAGAGCCTATCAGTATGCATGTCTTCTATCGATAATTTATAGACTTGACATTTGGTATCTGAACAGCAACAACAACCACAAAGAAGAGATGCTGGAATGTGCCTTTATTAGAAGGATTACATTCTTTTGGAGAGGCTCATCAGGCGTCAAACTACATATCATTCCTAGAAAATTTGTTCTGGTATTTCAAAAAGAAGAACGAGGCAGGTGTTTGAAGTCTCTCCAGCAAACATGAAACCTGCGGGTTTGTTCTCTGCTGAGCTTCTGCAGGGCAGAGCCATCAGCGAGAGAACTGCTCACTTAGCACCAGATGACTTAGGCACAGAAGAGCAGGGATCTGCTCAAAGTCATCGTGCTGTGTGAAACCTTCCCTTTTCAGATATAAATGAATGCGACGCCAGCAATCAGTGCGCTCAGCAATGCTACAACATCCTTGGTTCCTTCATCTGCCAGTGCAATCAAGGCTACCAGCTGTCCAGTGACAGGCTCAACTGCGAAGGTAAACTGCTTTCCAAATAGCGTGTCTCATGAAGCCAGCATGGGGAGAGCAATCTGTGGTCCCTGTTGCATTAAGCTGTGAAGTGTCTGTTCAGGAAAACGAGTTCTTATCTGTGGGAGTTCCATTCTAGAATCCAGCTAATCAGCTGTCACATTAGCCTCTTGGTATGCTTTCAGGAGGGAGCTCTGGTGGCCTAGAGATAGGAAACTGCATTGCAATCCAAAGGCACGTGGTTTGGATCCACCAGCTGTTGCTCTGTGGAGGAAAGATGGGCAATCTCCTCCCATGCCAATTTACTGCTTCTGAAAATCCATGGGAGGGTCAGCTATCAGTCAGTTCTGACTTTATGGTATATAATAATCAGAAGGAAAAAAGGAGAAGCAAACATAAGTAAAACAGGAGCTGTGCTGCAGGTCCGATCATTAGAATGAGGGCTATAGAGCCTTGCTTCTCCAAGTATAATCGGATCATCAATGGAATGGGCACTTCCTGGGAGTCCGAAGAAGACAGGGAATCTCAGGCACAAATTCCAGACCTGCAGTGCACAATATGTGTCATTTTAACATGTCTCTGGGTGACAGGTGTACATGTGACAGTGTGAAAGAGGCTGACTGCATGTCAAAACATTAGACTCGCCCATCAACAAACAAATGCATTGAAAAACTGGGGTACATTCACATAGCGGAATACTATGCAGCACTATGAACTTTGATAAATGACAATCGTTATAGAAAGGCTTCAGGCCTTTTGTTCATAGGGTCACGATGAGTTGTGCTCAACTCAATGATAACCAACAACATGCAGCAATAAAAACAACACTTTCATAAAATATTATTTAACATAAGAGAGTCTAGAGAGCATTATATTTTGTGAAATAACTCAGTCTCATAAGGACAAATACTGCATGAGGCCATTATTGTGAAAATAGAATGATAACTGTGCAAGATGTGGATAAATGTTCTTAAGGGGAAGGCGAAAAGTAAAAGAGGGCAGGAAAAGGGAAGGATAGAAATCAACAGGTTAATGGGCAGAGGGAGGATGAAGGAAGAGGAACAATTCCATGAAGTCTTGAAGGCAAGGGGTGATAAGAGCCATAGGTAAATAGTAATTAATTATAAAAAACATAATGTACATTGATGATTGTATAAAACACAATGCATGTGAATGATGCAAACCAATTTTTTAAAGAAATAACTTTAGACTCGAAATGAAGAGATAAGATCTTCAGTGTTAATTCCTCCACTGAGTCACAGGAGTGTTTCTTAAGCTGTCTGGGCTTCACTTGCCACTTGAGTAGAAAAAGGAACATTTAACTGGCTGGAGGTTTAGAGTCTACGACATGTGCATCTTCCACTGTACAAGTCCGAAGCCACTAGTTATTCCTGGGAGAGATTCCACCACCACTTGGTTTCCCTAACTTCCTCCTGACCCCTCCCAGCTTGACTTAGAGGCCATGGAGGTCAGACCCCACCCGAGAGGCCTCCCACCAGGCTATTGTGCTCAGAAAGCAAACAAGGCTGGCTCAGAACAGCTGCTTCTGCCCCTTCTGAGCAAACTCTAGGGACATCACCATTCAGAAATGCGAAGCATTCCTCCCCTGAAGGCCAGAGCCTGCCAAGACGTCACCCTCTCTGGAAACTAGTACAGGGTTGGGACTGGGAGTTCAAAGCTTAGATGAGCTTGGGCAGCAGAGCCACCCAATTTTGAAGAAAGCCAGCATGAATCTACATTATGGGTGGGCCTGCAGAGCTCAAATTCAAGTGTCCACCACAGGCCAATTCATTCAATCTGTTAAGCTTGTAGGGTGAGGCCCAAGATTAGTCAAACCTTCAGAAATGATTCAGTTAAAATGAGGGTAAGAAAAGCTTTTTGTGCTATGAAGTCATAGAGGAAATTAGCTGATATTGTTAGAATTTGTCATCGGGCTTCTTATAATATACTAGTAACTGTTTCAGATTTTGCAGTGTTTTTCTCTTCAGTTCATCTTAAAAAAAAATCACAAACGTAAATTTTTCAATTCTATGTCCTTATCTCTCTTATCTAATTGAACAGACATAGATGAGTGCAGAACCTCCAGCTATCTGTGTCAATACCAGTGTGTCAATGAACCTGGGAAATTCTCATGTATGTGCCCCCAGGGATACCAGGTGATAAGAAGTAGAACGTGTCAGGGTAAGTTGTATATCTTCCTCCCATGTCTGATGTGCTGGTTCACCATATGCTTCTCTGTAGAATCGTAACTCACACATCTGTTAAGTGTTCCATTAAGCAAGAAGAACAGGAAGGGTGTTCTAACATTCTCTACCTTGGACACCCATTGTTTCCACTTTGAACTTGAGCTCCATCTTCCTGAGTCCATTATGATGCATGGACATCTCATGTTGAGAGGGTACTTGGACTCCTGACTCTTCCTGAAATTGACAGTAATTTTTTTCTTCTTTTTACAAGGAAATAATTTCATTGTGGTTCCAGTGAAAGTTAACAGGGGACATTACATTTCCGTTGCATATATTTTGTTTTGTGAAATTAGCTACAATCCCCTCATTTCGACAGCACTCTGCTCACTTCCTCTCAGCTTCAATTCATGCTTCCCGCCCCCACCCCCACCCCCATACCTTCCTTGCTTTCTAAGCTTTGTTTTAGGGCTCAGTGAGTTTAAGACTGAGGCTGTTGGACCACGTATCTCCTCTTTAAAGCCTACATAATCCTGGTGATAAGCATCTTCAACTAACTACCAAAGAAGCTCCAATTAGTTAACTATTTTTCCATTACTATGAGTTTCCACATAAGGAGAGCCCTATACATGTTTCAAATCCAAATCCGTTATCTCTAAAATCCCAAGATTATAGATTAGGTGGTAGTTTCAATCCTGAGAAAAATCAGTGTACTAAAAAGCACTTTTTAAGATCTTTGGAGACAACTACTGACCCAAATATATCTGGCATCTTTGGATCCTGTTTAAAATAGGAACATTTGAGTGATCTTTGGACCTAGAAGTAGACGGAAGAGGTAACTTTTTATAAGGTGTGATTTCAGAATCTCTCAAGAAATTGCAAAAATACAAACCCTCTCCCCACACTACTAGGAATGCACCTACTTGAAAAATGTTTTTACATGGAAAAGACTGCTTGGTCAAGGCCAAAAATGTAAATCACGGTGGGAAAGCTACTGACAGAACTTATATTTGCATCAAGCAGCAAAAGACTAGGGGGAACAAAAGTAAACCTGAAGACAGAAACCTTTTGAGTCCACGGCTCTGCTGAGTTCCAGCTGTAGGAACAAATTATGAAATTTTGCTAAGTCTTCACTTTCTGGAAAAAGAAGTTGAGGGGGTGAAATGGAACACCAAAACTCACTGTGGCTGAGTCAACTTCAATTAATAGGCATCCTAGAGAATAGAGTAAGATTGGATTCCAAGGCTGTAGTTACAGAAGCAGGTATTTACTCCTGCAAAGGGGCTGGTTAAGTTTGAACTGTTCACCTTTTGATTGCAGCCAAGCCCTTAAACTCTGCATCACCAGGGTTGAAATAGAAGATAACATCCAAAAGAAGAACTACCTCATCTGATTTTTAGACATTCTATAGTGTTTCCATTCTCCTCCTAGGCTTAGGATAACAGTAGCCAGTTATCCTGATTACTGAAAGAAACTATTTTTCTCTAAAGACAAAGCACTGAACAATTCTCATTTAGAGGATGCAGTACCCAGGGTACCACTCTCTTAACTCTGTGACCTTGAGCCAGTCGCCCAACCACTCAACCCTTATTTGTTTTCCCTCCATGCCAAGTGGAGCTGGTATCTTTTTCACCTACCCCCATACAGTTTGTGAGAGGAACAAGTTAGTTCAGTTTAATAGTTCTTCAAAACCAGGTGCTCCCAGTGCAGTAATGGCTGTTGACGTAAGGGATAAAAGCGTGAGTATAACAGCTTCTGCCTTCAGGAAGTTCAAAACTAACAGAAGGGTTAAAACAAACACACATATTTCAGTAATGCAAAGCAGAAAGTTGTAAAGGCACAGAAGTATGGAAACACAGAGGTAAAAAAGAGATCATACGCCAGTCCCTGGCTCTTGACTGGCTGAAGCAAGAATTCAGGATATTATTTATTGAATGGATGAATGAACTGAAAGTACAATGATTTTGGAAAAGCTTATATTGGAGAAGAGAGAAATCACTATTCAAATGTGAAAGGATATAGCTGGATAGAGATAGAGATAGATATGGAAGTGGATAGGTCTCAAGGTGAGAAAAATGGGTAATATGTGGGGCTTCTAACCCAAAGTTTTGAAGATTCCAATCCACTCACGGGCATCTCAGGAAAAAAATGCCTGGTCATCTGCTTCTGAGTCGTCAGCCATTGGAAACCTTATGGGATACAATTATATTCCAGCACCTGTGGGGGTCACCAAGTTAGAATCAACTCAGCATCAACTAGTGATGGGTATGAATCAGCTCGTCATCCCCACGACTGGCCAACTAGTGATGAGTATGAACCAGTTAGTCATACCCATGACTGGCCATCTAGTGACGAGTATGAACCTGGATACAGATTCTCATTGTTGTTTTAAACGAAATGGTTTTCTAATCGCACTGTAGTAGGAATTTGTAACTACCAAGTGCATAAACAGTCCCTGGTCGAGTACAGTATACCCTCTGTAACATTTCTCCCTGACTGGCTGTCCCTCTGCCTTCCTGGGCAGCACCTTCCCCTCACACCACTCTCAGCGCCCCATCTCAGCTCCTCTTCTCCTGCGCAGATCTTGCAGAGCTTTGGTCTATGAGGTGGAAAATGTCATCGTTTCACTCCGTTTTGTAATCCACCCCCAAGGGATCAACTACCACATGAAGGTGACTGATTAGAAGCCTTTTCCTCTTTCAGGCGCCTGAGCCAGTGGATGAACTTGGCTTGTCACTATGTTTGCTGGCTGCTTTCTCAGGCCAGGAGGCTCTTCTCGCCATAGCCATGAAACCCCCATCTAACCACCTTCTCAAGCTGAATTGAGATGCTTGCTCTTCCTTTACCCTTCCCTATTCCCAAGCAGAATTAATCCAGTCTGTGCCTAGTTTTCCCAGGGTTCTTCTCCATCTTTTCTATCATTATTCTTTACTTTCTAATTAATTTCCATATCTATGAATGAAAATCAAACTAACCTCTGTCATGTGGCTTTTGACTTATGGTGATTTCCTCATGTGTCAGGGTAGAACTGTGCCCCATTGGGTTTTCAATAGCTACTTTTTCCAAAGTACAGCACCAGGCCTTTCTTCGAAGGTACTTCTGAGTGGGCTTCAGCATTCACACTTTTGGGTAGCAGTCAAGCGCACCAAGTCACTTGGTTAGCAGTTAAGCGCACCCAGGGGCATCTGCCCTGCCTATCAGAGCTGAAACCCCACTGCAGTTGAGTCAATTCCCACCCTCCACTGGGTTTCAGGAATTGAAATCTCAGTAAGAAGACAGAGTTCATCTTTCTCCCATAAAGCAGCTTCGATTAGCAGCCTACACTTCACCGACTACGCCAATTGTAATCTCCCTGAGAACGGGGACTAGGCTTCTTCACTTGTATGGAAGGTCAATGACTAGCATTTGGCTTTTGCATTGAAGATGAGCAAGGCATGAGACAGAAGCATAACAAACAACGAGACATTTAATTATTAATCCGTTTAAAATGTTCCTTAACTACATCATAAATCAATGCACTGAGGTCAAATTCTAGTCAGTCATGTGCGTAAAAGCAAATTAGACACAGAATCCCCGACACCACCATCCTTGAAAATCAGAATATGCTCCTTATACAATTTACACAGGTTAGTAAACTCTGGCTCTGTATCTCTCCAGATATAAACGAGTGTGAGACCACAAACGAATGTCGAGAGGATGAAATGTGTTGGAATTATCATGGCGGCTTCCGTTGTTACCCACGAAATCCTTGCCAAGATCCCTACATTCTAACAGCAGAAAAGTAAGGAGAAAGAATTACTAATCAGAGCTTTGGAACATTCTGGTCGGTATCAAGCTAAGCTGGTGAACGCGTATGTTTGTCTCTGCAGCCGATGCACGTGCCCAGTTTCCAATGCTGTGTGCCGAGAGCTCCCCCAGTCCTTAGCGTACAAGTACATGAGCATCCGGTCTGACAGGTCTGTGCCTTCGGACATCTTCCAGATACAGGCCACGACCATTTACGCCAACACCATCAACACTTTTCGGATTAAATCTGGAAATGAAAATGGAGAGTTCTACCTAAGAGTAAGTGTCCTGAGGTCAACTTTGGCTATGGAGAGGTGCAGAAGTGTATCTGTTTTTCAACTATTCCTACAGAAGGAAGTGGGTTTTATATGTGCAGGCCTTGTGGAATGCCCTTCTCTGTGCATTATTTCATTTTTAAGTTTCTAAGCAATACTATCAGATAGATGTTGATACTTATTTCTTTTTTATACAAGAAACTAAGTCTCAAAGAGATGAAGTTAGCTTTCCTGGATTCCTCAGTTCATTTACATCAGGTCAGAGGAGATATAACTGACCCTCCAGTGAGTTTTCTGAGGCTGTGAATCACACAGGAGGAGTTTGGCCCTCTTCCTCCTGGGGACTCACTGGTAGATTTGAACTGCCAGAGATGCTTGGTCTTTGGGTTAACTGTGCAGCATCCCCTGGAGTTAGTCACCATAGACTAAGTGCTTCCCTGTTGTTGTGTGCTGTAGAGTCAGAACTGACCCACAGCTGACCCTCTGGCGGGTTTTCAGAGGCAATTAATTGCATGAGAGGAGATTGCCTTTCTCCGGCAGAGCAGGTAATGGCCCCAAACTGCGTACCTTCGGGATTGAAACACAGCTTCTTGCCACAAGGCTACCAGAGCTCCCTTCCCTAGAGGCACTCAGATATCATCTTAAAGACTCTATTGGAGTTGTGTGTTGGTCAGCAAAATGCAGGCTTACTCAGACACACACACGCACCGACACACACATTTACACACTCAAAACAGGTAGTAGAGAGAGCTTTTCCTACAGAGAATTCCTAGAGAGCTTTTCAAAAATCATAAATTCCTTATTGTTACATTTACAAAATTGTTCAGATTTGTACCAACACTAAGACCCTATGTCTCTGAGAAATATTGCCTTTCCACATCAATCTCCTGAATCATATGGGTTAGGAGCTGTAGCGTTCTTGCAAGTATCGAGAAAGATGAAGAGAGGTAACCTTTGTCTTCACTGCCTATCTCGCATCCTCCTCCGATGGCTGCCATTTCTTTATTTACATGGTCTCCTAGGTTATGGTGGCTTCTCCATGCCCCTTCCTCCCTGGCTTAATCTGGCTCTCGTCACCCACCACCATCCCCCCACATACAAACTCCCCCTCCAGTGGCTTTTCTGCTGATGTCTCTGACGCCAGTGTCTCAGCTTCCCGGTTCTCCCTACAGAATCTCAACAAGTTCATTTTAGGTTAAAATTCTGACATCTCTTAAGTACAGCTCACCACTTCATGTAGAAACGATGGCACCCCACCAAGCCGTTTACAAGGTTACGGTAACTGGTCCATGCGAAGGATGTTATTCATCCAGTTAAAACTCAAAACTCCTTCAGGCACTCCTCATTTTTAATCACATCCTACTGTCAATATTTCATTTTGAGAATATGAAAATTAAATTGGAAAATTCATGCTTGTGGTAAAGTTTACAGATTGCTAATGTTTACACGTTTATCCTGGTCTCTGAGATCTTAAGTTTCCTTCCAGCACTAGAGTTATGTGACTCTGATTCTTTGCCAGTAAATTAGAAATGATTAATTTCTCATGGTCCACTTCTGAAGGGAAAACTCCAACCCAAAAATACAATCGATGAGTATTCTTTTTTTCCTAAGAGGAAAGAAAAAGCTTCCTTAACATTGGATGTTTTCCATTTGAGATAAACTAGATATTTGTACGAAGGTTCCCTTAACTGAGCATAGTTCAGATAAGGCCAATTTAATAATTCTAGCCTAAACAAATGACATTATAGACAATTAAATAGAGAATTAAGATTTATCTAGCTTTAAATCTTTAAATGTAATTTTTCATTATGATCTCTAAGACTAATGTAAGAAAATGATGTTTCCTAGCAGAATCAACAGTTAAAGTTCCAGCGCATTTTTCCCCCCTGTGCAATAAACCTGACACAGTTAACGTTATTTATGTCAGTGTATTTTAAGAATATAAAAATGAGACATTTTTAAATTAGTAAGTGTTGATGCTATTCTAGCAGATTTTTAAAAACTGAATGCTCCACACGTGAATGGATTAACTTTGCCAAATTTAGTCTATCCCAGAGTAAATAGTTTTAAATTATTTCAACAATAAACTATTTAAAACAATAAAAATAGGCAGTCAAGACTATTTCCTATCACGTAATTCCAAATGTTGTTATTATGGACCAACGAGTTGGAACGCACCCATGGCTGGACTTCCTGCAGGTTTTCAAAGGCAGGAAATTGCACAAGAAGAGAATGCCTATCTTTCACCCCAAAGCAGCTGGAGGATTGAACCATGTACACAAATGGATCAAATCCTTACCAAGTAGCTTAATAAAAATCCCACCTGTAGAGAGAGCATCTAATAAATAAGGATCAACCACCAGCAGCTACTCTGTGGGCATCTCCATGCTAGATATTGTGAGAAATGGGGGGGTGGGGGGAAGATGTATAATGCATCTATTGTTCCTGCTTTCAAAGAGCTTGAGATGTTATGAGAAGACAACCATTAGCAAGCATTGGGGGAAAAGGGGCATAATTTCATGCTCAATTTTATGGTTCAAAACCATTAAAGAATTGATGTGAGCTGGCGTTATAAAAAGAGGTCTCCTTTTTCTTTTAAATAATATCTTTGGAAAAACTCTCACTGAGATTTTGGTGAAAGTTTGCACAGCATGTTCATTTCCTATTTGATAATTTCCACACAAACTGTTCATTAGCATCAGTTTGAGAAATTTATCAACGTTGTCTTTGTGTTCCACTCAATTTTTCCTTCTCCCAGCAGCTTGAAGTATTTGGAATCACTAGAAGCCCATAAAGCTTGAGATATTAGCTATCAGATCAAGGGCTGGACAAGGGGAGATAGGTGTTGAAGGGAGTGGGTGGGAGTGGAAGGGGCTGTTGGTGGAGCAGGGAAATGGGTGGGTAAAGACACTTGTGTCAAAGGCGGGGACAACAGTGAAACTATTGGCTAATTCTACAGTTGGAGAAATATCTTTCATCTGCCTTTTCTGGTAAAATGCTTGTCTGTCAGATACTTTTCTACATCTGAGCATTCAGAGTAAGACAGACTAGGAAGAAGGATTAGCCATCCACTTCCAAAACAGCAGGCCTCCGAAAACCCTATGTACAACAGAACACACTCAGACTAGCAGATAGGGCAACTGAGGTGGAGCTTTCAAGTATGGAAATAGAAAGAAGGAGGAACAGTTGTAAGCAGACACTAGTGACTGGAACATGGAATGTGAGAACCATGAATGTAGGAAAATTAGATATAATTAAGGAAGAAAGGGAACACATAAACATTGACATATTAGGTATTGACGAGATGAGATGGACTGACATGGGGTATTTTGAATCAGACGAACATATGCTCTATTATGCTGGAGATGAAAAGGTGAGGGAAAATGAGGTTGCTTTCATTAGTAAAAAAGTAATTTCTAGATGTGTCTTGAAATATAATATCATTAGCAACAAGATAATATCCATATGCATACAAAGAAGTCCAGTGAATACTACTATCATTCAGCTATATGCACCAACAACCAGAGCCAAACAAGAGGAAATAGAAGATTTCTACCAACTTTTACAGTCAGAGATCGATAGAACATGCAATCAAGATGCATTAATAGTGCAACAATGAATGAGTGGAAGCCCAAAATCTCTGTAAATGTTTATGAAAATTAATAAAATATAATTATAGAAAAAAAAATTTAAAAAAAGATGCATTAATAATAATGAGTGGATTGGAATGCAAAAGGTGGGAACAGAGAAGAAGGATCAGTAGTCGGAAAACATGGACTTGGTGACAGAAATGAAGCTGGAGACAGAATGATTGAATTTTGCACAATCAACAATTTATTCATTGCAAATACATTATAAAAGAAACATAAACACAGGCTATCCACATGGATTTCACCTGATGGTATGCACAGGAATTAGATTTATTACATCTGTGGAAAGAACCATGGGAGAAACTCAGTATCAGCTGAGAAAACTAGGCCAGATGCTGATTGTGGAATATACCACCAACTACTCATATGCAAATTCAAGCTGAAGCTAAGGATTAATTAAATCAAATCCACGGGAAACAAAATATGACCTTGAGTCTATCCCACCTGAATTTCAAAACCATCTCAGGAACAGGTTTGAGGACTTGAACACCAATGAACAAAGACCAGATGAGTTGTGGGAGGATATCAAGAATATCATCCAGGAAAAGTGCAAAAGGTTGTTACAAAGACAAAGAAAGAAAGAAAGAAAAGACCAGAATGACATCAGAAGATACTCTGAATATTGCACTAGAGTGCTGAGAAGCCAAAGCAGAGGGAAGAAATCAAGATATTAAAGAACTGAAGATTTTAAAAGGCAGCGTGGGAAGACAAAGTAAAGTATTGCAATGAAATGTGCAAGGAGCTAGAGTCAGAAAATCAAAAGAGCTGAATTCGCTCAGCATTTCTTAAGCACAAGGAACTGAAGAACAAATTCAAATCTTGAGTTGCAATACTTAAGGATGCTTTGGGCAGAATATTAAATGATACAGGAGGTATTAAAAGAAGATGGAAAGAGTGTATACAGAGTCATTGTACCAAAAGGAATTGGCAGACACAGAAGAATTTCATGAAACAACATTTGAGCAAGGGCCTTTGGTGATGACATGCAAGCAAGATTCTGCTAAAGATTATCCAAAAACGACTGGAACAGCACATCAACAGAGAACTGCCAGAAGTGCAGGCTGGCTTTAGAAGGGGTCATGGTACTAGGGATATTGTAGCTAATGTCAGATGGATCTTGGCTGAAAGCAGGGAGTACCAGAGAAATGTATATCTGTGTTTCATTGATTATGCAAAAGTGTTTGACTGTGTGGATCACAACAAACTGTGGCTGACTCTGAGAAGAATAGGAATCCCAGAACACTTAATTGTGCTTATACTTATAGTTAAAACTTATACTTGGACCAGATGGCAGTCGTCAAAACAGAGCAAGGAAACACTGCATGGTTCAAAATTGGAAGGGTATATGCCAGGGATGTATCCTATCTCCATACCTTTTCAATCTATATGCAGAACAGATTATCAGGATTGGAGTAATTTCATCAACAATCTGTGTTATGCAGATGGCACAACCCTGCTTGCTGAAACTGAGGACCTGAAGTGTTTGCTGCAGAAGGTCAAGGACTGGAGCCTTCAATATGGATTGAGGCTCAATATCAAGAAGACAAAGATTCTCACCACTGGGCCAATTGGCAGCATCATGATAGATGGTGAAGAGATTGAGATTAATAGCTTTATTTTGCTTGGCTCCACAGTTAACACTCTTGGCATCAGCTGCCAGGAAATTAAAAGATATATTGAGATGAGAAAGTCTGGTGAAGAGCAATGATGTCACTCTGGAGACTAAGGGGTGCCTGTACAGCCCATGGTCTTTGCAATCACTTGCTATGCATCAGAGAGCTGGATAATGACTAGAAATGACAGAAAGAGAATTGATGTCTTTGACCTGTGGTGTTGGAAAAGAGTACTGAATATACCATGGACTGCTAAGAAAACAAACAGGTTCATCCTGCAGAGGGTTAAATCAGGCTATTCCTTGGAGACAAGGATTCTGAAGTTTCATCTCACATACTTTGGACATGTTGCAAGGAGGGACTAGTCCTTGGAAAAGGGCATTATGCTTGAGAGGGTGGATGAACAGTGCAGGAGAGGAAGACCCTCTACGAGATGGACTGATTCAGTGACTGGGGTAACCGGGGTGGGTGTGTTGGAGACAATGAGATTGGCACAGGATAGAGCAGGGTTTAGAGCTGTTGTACATAGAGTCGCTATGAGTTGCCTGTTAGTGACTCTTTTTTAATCCCCCTCTCCTTGACCTTTTTCTCCTAATCTTTATTGGCAGTAGTTTGTATGTACTGTCGAGTTAGAACTGACTCATAGCTGACCCTCTATAGGTTTTCAGAAGCAGTAAATTGCATAGGAAGAGACTGCCCATCTTTCTCCCATGGAGCAGCTGGTGGATTTGAACTGCGTGATTCTGGATTGGCAGCGTAACTCCTACCACTAAGCTACCAAAGCACCCTCTTATATGCAATATCCTCACAAATAATAGAAACTCTAGTTAAAGGAAAATTCTCTCCCTCTCTTCTCTGCCTTTTTGTTTAGCAAACGAGTCCTGTCAGTGCAATGCTGGTGCTGGTGAAGTCGCTCTCGGGACCAAGGGAATACATCGTGGACCTGGAGATGCTGACGGTCAGCAGTATAGCAGCTTACCGCACAAGCTCGGTGTTAAGATTGACAATAATCGTGGGGCCATTTGCATTTTAGTCTTTTTTTTTTTAGAGTTCACCACAGGCATTTAAATCAGCCAAAGAATAATGTTACTTTAAAGCACTATTTTATTTATAGACATATCTAGTCCTTTTACATCTATAGTCTGTACACGCAACCATAATTCAAACCATTAACACCCTGGTAGAAGGTGGGCATTTAATCTGTAAAGATTCAAGGTTTATCTTTATTACCGTATGTAAATTAGACATTAATACAGTAAAACTGGTCTGATTCAAGAGAGCTAAGCATACGTGATCTGGTGAAACTTGGATTACTTCCTGTGAAAGTGGGATTAAGCAATGGTGATCTTCTGTGGTGCTTACCAGAAACTTCTACAGCTCCACTCCAGTCTCCCAAGGAGGCAGCCACCAGGACATTGAATAAATAGCATGCAAGGTCGAGATTGTCTAGTGAGTTTTTTTAACTGCTTTGTAAGAAAATGGAAAAAAGTCAATAAAGATATATTTCTTTAGAAAACTGAGGGTTGGCCATATCTGTGTTGGTTTTTCTTTCTGCTCAGTCACCAGTCTGCTGTTTGTTGTCTGGCGATAAGGCATTAATGTATAGCATGCTGGTTCCTTTTTACTCTTGTCTGCACTTTACCATTGTGACTATAGACAGAAGTTATCAAAATTTCTCCAAAATAAATAAAATAGTTACTTTGCGCTGTGGTGCTAGAGAAGAGTACTGAGTACACCATGGACTGCTAAGAGAACAGGTTTGTCTTGGAGAAGGTGAGACCAGGTTTGTCCTGGAGAAGGTGAGACCAGTCTGCTCCTTGGAGATAAGGATTCTGAGGCTTCATCTGACATACTTTGGGTATGTTGCAAGGAGGGACCAGTCCTTGGAGAGAGGCATTATGCTTGGGAGGGTGGAGGGACAGCACAAGAGAGGAAGACCCTGGATGAGAGGGATTGCCTTAGTGACTGGAGTAATGGGGATAGGTGTGTCAAATACACTAAGTTTGACTCAGGATAGAGCAGGGTTTGGAGCTGTTGTACCTAAGGTTGCTATGCATCACAAGTGACCTACAGCACATAACAGCAACAATAACTACAAGATTATTCCATTGAGAAATATATGGAAAGACAATAAAAAATAAATTCTTTCTCATCCACCTTGGAACTGATCTGTAGAAGCAAAGACAGTACATGTAGTTGCTGTTGTGTACTGTCTAGTCAGAACTGATCCATAACCCTCCAGTGGGTTTACAAAGCAGTAAATCATGCTGGAAGAGACTGCCCATCTTTCTCCCAAGGTCAGCTTGTGGAGTCGAACTACTTGTCTTCAGGATTACAGTGGAATTTCTTATCACAAGGACACCAGAGTTCCCTAGATGCAGTCACACTCCCTTAATCCAGAATTTTCACAGCTTGTGGAGTAAAATGTAGAAAAGATTCATTTACTGCGGAAGTTTTTCTGGATAGCATTAAAATCCACAACTTTGCTACTTAGTCTTTTTAAGCTACATAGTAAGAAGTAACTTGACTACCTAGTAAGTAGCCTTTGTGTTCAATTCTGGCAGAGGAAGTAAACTGACAGTTTTCATTCCTGGCACCCATAGTGAAGCAGACTACAGAATGACAGCAAATTACCTTCGCCCCCAACTCCATAAATAGAGTTTCTGTCTTCTGATTTGTTTAGGAGGTTAACTGCTGCACTTCAATGTACCATATTTTTAAATTAAAAAAATCAATATTCTTTTCTAGGATCACCTAACCTTTGGAGGTTTTCTGTTTAATACCCACATAACAACCAGCATGGTTTTCCTGTCTAGGGGGAAAACCAATCAACAGAGCAAGAGTGTAATCTGATTTCTTTTTTTAAAAAAATCAATTATGAAATGAAGCCACAAAAAGACTCTTAAGATTTTAGAGTCTTGCCCCCCACAAATGGTACACAGCCAATTTTGTTCTTCTACTCAGTCTGAAAGTCACATATACACAAACAACCAGCTAGCCTTGCTGCTGTTAGGAAAAGTAGCCTTTAAAAATCCAGCATAGATCCCAGACTATAACAAGACTTTAAAATAAACTTAAGCCTTTACTTTCACATTGTTCTATTATACTACACACATCAAGTGCCTCTTATTTTTAGACTCTCTTATAATAGCACATATGAGTTTCTTTACAGGTACAACCATCTGAGTCAAATTAAAGTCTCATGCTTAAGGCTTGGAGATACTCAAAGCAACTGTCATGACTGGAAACAAGCCAATGCAGTAAGACAAAGCCCTGCCTTGCTTTCAAATTGCATGCCCTCCTCTTCCCTGCCCAGATGATTTAAACCAGAATGGGAATTATAGAAGCAACTCATTGTCAGAGTCTTTATTAAATAATCAGCAGCAAACATTTATTGAGCGACTTACAAGGTAACCCGTCCAATATCTAACAGTTGGGGAATAGTGTAGAAAAACTAATGTTCTAATCCAAGTATAATGTTAAACATCTGTAAGACCTTGGGCAAACTGAGGCCTCCATTTCCTTCTCCATAAAACTGATACATTGAACCATAGGGTTCAAACTCTAACTAATCGCCGAAACTGGAGGAAAGCATTGGTTACTGAAAAAAAGACATTTACAACTGAAACTCACTATCAACTCTTCACAGTGTTGGTTCTTTGAAGCTATGAAAAATGGCCCAATTTACCTACAGTAGTTTTTGGAGGATTTTTAAAAAATTAGAATTCAAACTAAAAAATTCTTCCATTATTGGTCTTTTAAAATTATGCATGTTTTTTTGGTTGTTGTTGTTTTTTAATTGTGGTTTTAGTGACAGTTGATAGAAAGGATGGGTATCCATCCATCCATTCATTCATTCATACACATTTTGCTCCCTCCTCCCTCCTCCAATTCACTTTGTAATAAATGACATAGTGTCAAATCATCTGTTCCCTTCAGATATTCTTTTCCTTCTCCAGTTTCAGTGTAGTGTTCATTATCTCTCCACTACTTCCCTGCTCTCCCCTCTCCCGTGTCCAGCTTATTTTTCTAACAGTGACTTTGTGCAGTATTTGTCCTTTTGTGACAGATATTTCACTAAGCATAATGCCTTCCAGACTCATCTATGTTTAGTGTTATAGAAGCTCAATCAATGTCTCTCAGTGCTGCATAATATTCCATTGTGTACCACAGTTTTTATATCCACTCATTTGTTGATTGGCACTTGAGCTGCTTCCATCTCTTAGCTATCGTGAATGATGCTTCAATCAACATGAGTATTATACATCTGTATCACAGCTGTATAACAGCTCTGGTTTCTTTAGGGTCTATTCCCCTTAGTAGATTAGCTAGGTCAAGTGGCATTTGTTTCCAACTTTTTGAGACTCTGCCAGACTGCCTTCCATAGTGGTTGTACCATTTTACATTCTCACCAGCAGAGAATAATCTCCCTACATCCTTGCCAGCATTTGCTGTTCTCTTGAAGTTTGCTATTGTTGCTGGGTGAGATATCGCATGGTTGGTCTAATTTGCTTCTCTCTGATAGCTAGGGATATTGAGCAATTAATGTGTTTTTGGCCATCTGAATTTCTTCTTTGGTGAAGTGTCTCTTCATATCTTGTGCCCATTTTGTGACTGGATTGTTTGCCCTTTTTTTGTTAATGTACGTACATATTCTATAAATATTAGATGTGAATCCCTTATTAGATATGTTACTGCCAAATTTTTCCTCAGTCTGTGGGCTCCCTTTTCATCCTTTTTTAAAAATGTGCATATGGATTTTATTTTTCTCCTGACTGTAGATTTTTCATTATACTTGGAAGTCTTTGCATGCTATAGATTAGGATTTCAGTAGTTGTTCCTAGTTTTTCTCTGATGAACTTTATAGTCTTAGCTTTTATTCCTAAATCCCTGATCCATCTTGAGTTAGGTTTTATGTATGGTGTGAGGTATAGATTTTTGTGCAGATGGTTTTCCAATTTTGCCATAACTATTTGTTAAAGAGACTACCATTTCCCCACTTAACTTACTTTGTCTTCTTGTCTAAGAGCAGTTGACCATAGGCAGATGAGTTGATTTCTGGATTCTTGATTATATTCCATTGATATATGGATCTGTAACTGTACCAATACCATGCTGTCTTGATTACTTATTTCTGTGCAGTAGGATTTGAGATCAAGGAGTCTGATGCCTCCGACCTTGTTTTTATTTTTTAGCAATACTTTGTTTATTCCGGGTCTATTTCCATTCCAGACAAAATTGGAAATTGCCTTTTCCATCTCATTGAAGAATGGAATTGGTATTTGATCAGGATTGCATTGAACTTGTAGACTGCTTTTGGAAGAATTGTCATTTTCATGATAGGGAGTCTTCCTATCCATGAACATGGTATATTCTTCCATTTCTCCAGGTCTCTTTTTGTTTCTTGCAGTAATGTTTTGGGATTGTCTTTGTATAGGTCTTTTGTGTCTCTAGTTAGAAATACTTAGATGTTTGTACATATTTCGTCTTGGGGTTAGCTACAGCAATTGGTATTGTTTTTTATTTCCTTTTGGATATTTTCTTTGTTAGTGTAGAGAAATCTAACAGATTTTTGTATGTTGATCTTATATCCTGCTACTTTGCGAAACTGGTCAACTATATCCAGTTTTCTTGCTGAATCTTCAGGGTTTTCCAAGTATACTTTCATATTATCTGCATATATAGATAGCTTTACTTCCTCTTTGCCAATTTGAATGCCTCTTATCTCCTAATCTTGCTCTCACTAAAACTTACAATATTGAATAGGAGTGGAGATAGTGGATATCCCTACCCCTAGTTCCTGTTCTCAAGGGGTAAAAAATACTCATGGTTTTGCTCCTTTATAGTGATACTGAAATATGATTACTCATATTAAACTGAAAGTCTTCTTGCCTCATTTTGCCGTGGAAAAATAGGCCAGTCATGGTTTCCCACACTCCTGAACTTGTTTCCAAGAAGACGCATATGCTCTTACTCAATGAGCCTCAGTAATGAGGGCTGACCTCGTCATTTCCATCACTTCACCATTCTGAT